TCCTTCCTATCATTGCTTATACTCTCTCTTCAACAAAATTAGAGATAAGGGAGGGGGCAGGGGGAAGGGGGGAGAAATGACCCAAACATTGTATGCACACATGAATATAATAAAAAAAAGGAAATAAAATAAAATACAATAGAACCTATAAGAGAGATTACAATTCAGATATCATATTATGTAACTTTTACCCCAGACTATACCATTTTAAGTCACTACACCAAACACAAGTTACCTAGGTCTTGATGCTTATGCTACACCTAATTAAACCAAATAAACAAAAATATAAAGGTCAGAGATAATCTCACGAGAATGATGCACCTGAAAAAAAAGACAGATCAGGAGATAGAAAGAGGAATTAAGCATGATGTTCTGCACCTGCCAGTTACACAGGCTCTTGATAACTCCCAGCTACTCAGATTTCATGAGCATCATGAGCAAGGCTGTATTCTGTATTACAGCTCAGAAAGATGAGAGATACCTTCTCTCTCAGTCTTTGTATCAATTGTACTTCAAGCTACCTCTGAAAAGCTTATTATGCAAGTATTACTACAATTTATGGGAGGAATAGGAAGAAGATGATGTTACTGATGTTTTCCAAAATTGTGTTAGGCAAAGCTTTCCTTTGGTTACAAGTATACTTTAAAATACATTTGCATGTTCTCAATTCCTTCAATAAGGCAAGCATTGCTATAATAATACAAAGATAGCCTACATATATTTCTACATTTCAGAAATTTGTGTGTGCTTATTCTTTATCAGTTAAAAATGTATTTCTTTTTTCCCTAGGGAAAAACTGCTGGATTTCATTCTAGATATTCCTCACTTTATCTTCTTTTGTGTACTGCTATTAAACTTCTTTGATAGAGAACAAGTTGGTGTCCTGATATATTTCTACACAGATTATGTTTGTGTAGAGAGACATTATGCTTTTTCATAGACTTGAAGAGAACCACACTTGGCGCTCGTTCCATAAATTCAGACAGGAAATGATGTCATAGGCTATATAAAAGCCAGAAATAGTCCATATTCACCTTGGGGAGCTATGGAATGTTTCTATGATTTTTTTATGTGTGTGGGAGAAGTATACACATCTAGAAAAAACACATAAAAGAAAATATTTTGCCAGGATTTTAAAATCTAGTACAGTGCACCTGTATGTGACCATTATAATTTCACATGTAAAAATCTATGTGAGAGAAAAGTAGATATCCTTGATTCTCAGAAGGACTTTGTGATCAATAACTGAATATGTAAACATGCTTTCTCTGTGGCCAGCTTTTGGAGAGGATGTGCTCTTTTTATTTAGTTGTACAAATTTCTTTCTTCATTCTGTTATCAAATTATTTTTTCCCTTCCAAATTACTTCTTAAAATTTTTTCTTAGCATAAATTAATTTTACAAAGGGTTTATTATATTTACATACATGCATATAATGCATTTTGATAAAATTCACCCCTTTCAAATCACTTACTCTTCTTTCTTTAAGCCAGGATGCGTCTTAAGGTTCTGAATATATTGGAACATTGTAGAAGTGAAATGATATAATTTATTACTGATATAAGGTCACTTTCATTGTTTCTACTTTTAAGACGATGAACACTATATAAATAATTAAGTACATTGCAGCCATTCAACAATGAATGCATATCCTTTGGAGCATGAACATACATCCTGAAAAATATTGTAGAAATACCTGGGTCTGAGGCCCAAGTGTTAGACAGAAAAAAAACAAAGCTTCTTGGTGATAAAATAATCAGTTTTTTTATAGAAACAAGGTTAACTTTTTATTTTTTCACTTTGTTAAACAGGTTTATTAAAAAATCAACATGTGATAATTATGTGTGTTTATAGGCTGCAGTGATACTTCAATACATGTATAAAATATATATTGATCAATACAGAAATTTGTTTCCATCTCTTTATCATTACTTTGTGTTATTTATCGATTTTGAATTTTATCTAGCTGCATATAGACTTGTAACTTTATTGAAAATAGTTATGCTTATGCATGTATATATATATGTGTTTATTATATAGTCAAGTTTATTAACTATCTACAAATATCAGGTAGATTTAATAGCTTTGTTTTAATTTAGACAAAGATTGCGAGAATATTTTTTAAAGAGAAGATAATTTAAGACTCAGTTTAATGTTTCATGTTAGCTAAGTTGCTACATGCTTTGGTTAGTACATACCCTTAGGAAATTTTTCAACATATTTGTTTTTCATTAAAATAGGTAAAGAACACCTAGGCTTAAATTTGGTATTGTCTTCCTGCCATGTGGACTTGCACCAGACATCATCCTGCAGCAATGGAACCTGTAGTCACGCTTTAGTGCACTACATGGCTGTGTCAGATTTTTCCCGAGATGGAGACAGAGTTTCGAGCATTGTAGTGCAGCCTATAGTTAATGAGGACTTCCTGTGGAACAGCTACATTCCAGACAGCATTCAGGTTGACAAGTTACAAAGTGATCTTTATAGTTTAAGCCTGAAAAAGATATGTGTATTTTACTTCTATATCTTGTAAATTTTCATTTACATTTATTTGATAAATGATTTGTTTTTAAATACTTCAATTTTCAATAAGCATAACTATGCTAAACAAGAATTCATTGAAAATTCACTGTAATTGCTAAGTAATTTATTGTATGTCATTAAATATTCATCAAAATATCTTTATTTTTAAGATCAGAGTCAAGGATGTCCCAACTGCCTACTGCTATTCATTTACTGACCCACATATAATTACTTTTGATGGCAGGTAATTTCTTGAAAGTTTTTTTTAGTAGTTTTTGTCTGGATTTTGATGTTGTTTTATTTTATTGAGCCTACAGTTTTATCATTTCTTAGTCACTAAAATATTAGAAAGAAAAGCATATATGACCATCACTGGCTTGTTTCAAGATACTAGACTATTTGTATAGAATTATTTTGCCTTAAATTTAGTTCCATAGTGAAAAATATGGAGATATCATGATCCTAAATTTGTAGAAATGAATATCATTACAAATACAGATAAACATTTTTGCTTATCTATTTATTTTTAATAATGATGAAAGCTTTTGCAGTAGAGATATCTACCATGTTGCAGTTCTACATACTAACAAAATAATATTTAAGGTTTAGACAAAATGCATAAACTGATACATTAGATTTATCTTCAAACTAATCACTGTTAATTCATCATAAGGATACTTATGGTAAAAAACCGTTATAATCATCATAAATTCCTTTGTATTTTCTTCTGGAAGTTAAGTAAAATGGACACAGTGACCAAAAAGCAATCTAAGCTATCCTGCTATTAACAGCTATAGGAAAGATTTAAACTCAGCAGTGCTTTTCTGGGGATTTGTGAACCAAGGTGTCCTTCAGGAATAAGATACCTCATCGTTGAGTCAAATTTTTCTTCATGATACGAAGTAATTGTTATCCTTGTAATGTGATAATTATCAGTAAAATTACTCAATATGAATAGATGTGGAACTCCTCCAATAAAAGTGACAAGTTTACAGATTTGGCCATTATCGAAAATTTGTCGGAACTGATCCTTTGTTTAAAAACCTTTATGCTTATGATTGAAGGCTTAGAAGTTTTAGTGAAAAACATCAAGACACCATAGAGATGGTGTATTTAATCCAATTGAATTCAACAAGATTGTATGTAACTAGATGACAAGCCATGTTTTGAGTGTTGGGAGGTGTACCAGTGAAAAAAACAGATAAACTGTCCCTGCAGTCAAGGAGCTGATCTTTGAACAGATTAAAAGAGATATTAACACAATTAATATATGAAATATACCAAGGTTCGAGGTAGATACATGCCATGAAGAAAATTAAATTAGGGTGGGAAGGGGAGGTTGGAAGTATGGTTTGATATTTTTGTTAAAAGAGATAGGTTCTGGAAAACCATTTAGTGAAGGTAACGTTTGTACAAGGACTTGAAGAAGCTGAGGGAGCCAGCCATATTCATGCAGTTAAGCAAATTTCCTCTCCTTAGAGTGCAGCCTGATAGGAGTGGTGAAAGGAAAGAAAAGAGGAGGCGTTGAGGTGTTTAATGCTACTTTATTTTGATTCATCCCGTACAAATAAATGTTTATGACACATAAAGCTATTGGAAAACTAGATTTCTCATTCTAACATAAAAATATACTGAATGCCTGTAAATACATTAAATACACATTTTTAGCTTATAATATTTTATGCTGACTCAATGCAATTTACTTTTATTAATGACAGGATTTATGATAATTTCAAGACGGGAACATTTGTGCTTTATAAGAGTATGTCACGTGATTTTGAAATCCATGTACGTCAGTGGGACTGCGGAAGCCTTCACTATCCTGTGTCTTGTAACTGCGGATTTGTTGCCAAAGAAGAAGGCAATATGGTTACTTTTGATATGTGCAGTGGTCAATTACATGAATCACAACCATATTTATATGTGAAGAGCCAAGATGCATCCAGCAGTATCAAGATAAGTGAATCTTACTTGGGAAGAAAAGTCACAGTATGTATAATTTTTTAATATTACTTTTCCTTTTTCACATTTTAGATGAACTCCTGTTCAGCTCTACTAAATTAAAAGCTGTCATTTTTAATGTTAGTCTATTCAAGAAATTAGAATTTAGATTATCTATGATCTTAGAAGTAATGAATTTTTTTTCACTTACAACACACAGGTAGACATCATATAGTAAAAGCTGTCAAAGTTAAACTAACTTATTTGAAATTTTTGTGAATTATTCACAAAAATTATTTTTAATAGTGTCTAATAAGCAGTATATTAGGCAGAGATGACAGATATATTTAAAAGTGAATATTCAGAAATATCTAACCTGTTTTTCAAATGAATATAGTTATGTTACTACTTCAGGAATGGGCCAGTAGGTAAGTAGAAGAGAATAGCAATCAAGAAACAGACCCAGGGCTGGGGGCTGGCTCTAGTGTTAATGTATTACCTGTCTAGCAAGTATGAAGCCCTGAGTTCAAACCCCAGTACTACCACAAAAGAAAGAATGAAGGGTGGAAGGGAGGGAGGGAGGGAAGAAGAATGCAAAATTTGTTTGCATTTGAAATAATTTTCTGTCATGAACATATACTTTTTTAAAATAAGCATTTCTTAATTAAAAAATTAAAAGAGGAACAAGAATCAGAGTCACAAAACAAGTGATGTATCTTTAGTATCTTTTAGAAGAGATCATTTTCTCTGTATTTACATGCAAAGTCTGGTCAGGGACAGCGATAGTCCTGAGACCAAGAGAGGTGACTCAGAACTAGATGATACAGGCTATTAGAGTTGATCAGCAAACTACTCTTGTTCTGATTGACAACTCCCCAGGCTACCTTTTGTTATAATTTGGCTTCTGATTCCACATGTCTACTGGCAGCAAGAGAATGCTGATTAGCTGTGGGAATATGTACTCCTCTGCAGTTACATTCAAGAATTAATCAGTTGGCAATCTAGTTCCATATTAAATAACTATGATCAGAAAATTAATTGGTAAACATTCTTATGATTGATTGATTTATACTTTTTTTAAGTTTTAGCAAGATTATTTTACTACAACAGGGTAAAGAATGGAGAAGCGGGGGTGGGTGGGGGGAAGGGAGAAACATTTCCTGCTACAGACATAAGAGATGGGAATAAAGACTCCTATAACTGTTTAATTATATAAGGGACCACATTTTAGCTTAAATTATTTAAAGAAAGGAGTTGCATGCAATGTAGCTCAGAAACAATTAATATGGTGACCACATTTCAAATCAGCAAAATGTAAAAATACATTTTGAAATGTAGCACAAAAAAGAAAATTGTCATGTAAAAAAAATCAATATTTTATAGTCTGTGTATGTAGAAGGGGTGAGTTTATTCCTTATATATTAAATGATACATTTTTTTTGATCCATATTGAATATTGCTTGGTTACTCTGTCTTTCAGATCTGGTTTTCTTCTGGAGTGTTCATCCGTGCTGACCTTAGTGAATGGGGCATGAGTCTCACAATCAGAGCCTCTAGTTCAGATTACAGAAACACTTTGGGTCTTTGTGGCACCTTTGATGAAAATCCAGAAAATGATTTCCATGATAGCAATGGAATCAAGATTGACGAAAGTATTAATAATTGCATTGCTTTTATTAATGAATGGAGGTAAGAAATAAACTGCCATTCATTTGCAATTTTATCAATTGGGACCTTAAGTGGGTTGTGACTTAATACTCTGTAACACCTCACTGGGGAAAACTGATGATTCAAATCACTGCTCTTCTCTGCTCTTTTCATCTGGAAGGATTATAGCAGGAAGAAGCATGTTCGACACAATGCCGGCTGCTCAGGCCTTTCCTGGAAAGACATCCTACTGCAGCTGCTCATTGGGTTCGGCCCCCGAGGACCCATTTTCTAATCATGTGAACAGTGCTTCTCAGTCAGAAATCAGTTCAGGTTGCAACGACCTTCCACATGTCAAATTCACCTCTTTGATTCCAGGACTTGATGTCACCTCTGAATACATCAATTCAGAAGCTCCAGCCAAAGGGATAAATAATCAGACGTCCCAAGAGGAGAATAATTTTAATTTCTTCCTGCAAGAAAACAAGTCTGCAAACCTAACCAAACTGGACATAAATTTGCACCATCCTGGGAATGAAAAACAAGATGCAACAGAATATCTGGACGACCACAGACACACATGGGACCAGGGTAGCCAGGCCCAAGAAACAAGTTGGAATCCACAAAACAGATGGAAACGACAAAACTTTAATGAATTCCTTTCTTTGATTGCTTTTCAAAGTCTCGGCCAAACCAACCTTGAAGACTTTGCTTATTTTTTCCCTGAGGACCATGCTGAGAACATCCACCAAGAGTTTGTCCCCTCGTGGCCCACACCCTCTGGCCTTACTGAATACAGAACCATGGTCCTCTGTCAGCAGACTCTAGCCAACTCAAGCATAGGAAGACTCTGTCTTGACTTTCTTGGCAAGAGATTAGACCACGTTATTGATATGTGTGTTAAGGACATTCTGTTAAAAGATGATGTTAGGTGGGCAGAAGCAGGTGTAGCCCTTTTGGAAAATGAATGTGAAAAGAGGATGTTGGAAGAGGGGGAATACAACACCGGAGAGTATAACAAGTCAGTTGAAGACACTCTCTTGGTATTACGGTGCCCCAGTTTATGCAGTGGCAACGGGCAGTGTATGGAATGGGGCTGTGCGTGTTCCCCTGGCTTTAGTTCCTATGATTGCAGAGATTTGTATGGTGAGTGAATGCTCTCAATCTTTGATGTTGTGCATGACATTCAATTACTCAAATTTCTTTCTTCTTTTTTACCTTCAGTGTTTTAGGGTTTATGAAGATTATGTAGGAAAGCCTGGCACTGGTGGCTCACACCTGTAATCCTAGCTACTCAGGAGGTAGAGATCAGGAGGCTCACAGTTCAAAGCCAGCCTGAGCAAATACTTCATGAGACCCTATCTCGAAAAAACCCAACACAAAGCAAAGGACTGGTGGATAGCTCAAGGTGTAGGCCCTGAGTTCAATCTCCAGTACCACCACCAAAAAAAAAAAAGATTATGTAGGAAGAAAAACCAAATGACACTAATTACTACATTAATTTCCCTGAAAGTTTCCATCTTATTCAGAGTAACAGCTGACCTGGCACATGGTGTCCTGAGCTACTGCTTTACCCTTCTCTTCTTCTCCAGCCACTTTGGTCTCTGTGCTGTTCCTGAGAATACCAGGCTCACTCAACCTCAGGCCTTTCATGCAACTGCTGCTTTTACTTGTATAAAATGATTGTTTTCCTAGAGCTCAAATTTGGTTTATTTTAAGAATTTGTCTTAGTGTTTTGTTAATTATATTAATATGTTTGTTTCTCTTTAACTCATATATATGTTCTAGAAAGAGCCCCTGAGAAAGTTGATTTGGTTCCTTTAACCAATCATAGGAGGCTCCCCTTGCTTTCAGTTCATCTACCAGTCTTGTCTTAGCTCATATTCTTCTGCCACACTGGCTGCTTTGCTGTTTCTTGCAGTCCTGTTCCTAACTCAGGACCTTTGCATTTACTGTTCTCACTCCATGAAGCATTGTTTCACCCAATTTGCACATGGCTTTCTTCAATTCTCAGTTACAATGTCATATTATCAAGAAATCCTTCCATAGTGACTCACAATAAAAAAGTTTTTCTCACACAACCCCAGAGTCTGTGTCTCCCGTAATATAGTTAGTATAATTTTTCTTCATATTCCTGAAAATGCTTATTGATGTAATTTGTATCTACTTTTCATTTAACTATTTCTTATTTTTTTCATGATAGAATGTAAGATATATGAAGGCAGGGACTTTATTTATTACTATGTCCCCTATATAGCATAATACACAAAGAAATTTTAAAAAATCATTTGTTAAGTCTATGAGAAAATATACTAATACGTGTTTTTTTCATAAATGATTTAGAGTTCTGAATACATACGGCTTATGGTTTTGTTCCCTGTTGCTAGTAAATTTATATACACTTAGGTTTTTCCAATACTAAAACAAAGGATTTAATTATTTTATACACAGTGTATGTCCATTCAATGACCAGGTCTCACTGATAGATAATACATGCTCTTGCTAAGACCAAGGCCAAAGAAATAATTATATGAAGATTGGTTAAGTCCAAGTGCTAAAATAATTTTTTCTTCAGTAATGGTGTAGTACATCTAAAATTATGCTAGCATGCAGAATAACAATCATAGACAAAAGTATCAATGATACTAGAACAGCACCATATGTGAATTTTGGTAACTTTTTTTTTAATCCTTAAAGAATTTTTGAAATGTGAATACATTGCCCTGACAACTATACACTATTTTATTGCAAAAGTACATTTTCCTATAGCCCATATATATATAGCACAAACAGGTATTTCTTAATACCTGTCTTTAATTGGTACCAAATATTACTAAACATGAATGAAAACATAATTAGGCACTGGTAGATCTGTGATGACACTGTTATCAGTTTGATGATAGATAACATTTCCTTTAATGCCAGATTACTCTTAACATTTAATGGTTTAATTAATGTAAATAATATGCTAGGTATACTTTGAAATATTACTTTACATGTGCTTTTAATTTAGGCTTGGAAAATAATTATGCAGACCTTTTCTGTAATTGAAAAAATGTATTCTATTTGTTACGATTTTTTTCCAAAGACAAAGCTCCTGAAATTACAGAGCTTGAGAATGCTGGATTCTGTGATGTTCAAAAATATAACTGTGTGATGGTGAAAGTTTTTGGCCAAGGCTTCAAAGAATCATCTTCCATTAAGTGTGAAGTTACTAAATTGCAGGTACGATAAATACAGACTTTATGGCAAATTGTTTAAAATAATTAAGGTTATGAGTTATTCAGTCAAATTTTGTCTTGGGTTAGTTTGGCCTATTAATTAGCAATATAATCACAAATGATATTATATCCAGAGAGTGAGCAGGAAAATGATTTGATTGCTTAAACTTAAAAGCTTTCTTATTTATGAATCTTACTAAAGTATTTTATATATTTTATTGAAGTATTGGCTCTCTGTTTTCAGTCATAATAAAAAGCTAAAAAGACCATCAATCTTGATTTACAGAAGCATCTGTGTTTCTTGAAATGCAAGAATACAAAGAATAGAGATTGTGTTTAGCCTGGACATCCCATGTGAATGGTGGGATAGAGATATGAATATTTCCCTTTGGCAAAACCAAAAGTGAGGGGTGATTGTGCCTATCCTTTGACCTTCATTTACTGTGGATTTAGGACCAGAAAATATACTTTCCTCCTAAAATTAGTGGTTTTGTTTCTCAAGCCCACAAAAACAGGAATGATCATTCAGTTTAAACATTAACATATCACATTTTACCTTATTTTTGATTATTATGACTATATGATTATGATTATAAGATCTTTTGCTTCTTTCAAGTGGAATTTTCATTTTAAGCTCTTTAAATTTAGAAAGTATTTATCTGGACAAACTGAAAACTTAAAACAGTAAGTCATATTTTGGCCTTCTTACTTTTTCTCTAAATTGGTGAAGCAAAATGTTAATGTGAGATTGAGAATTATAACTTCTATAAGATGTTTCCATTATATAGCAATGCACAAGTACAGTCATGTCATGGCTTTATGGATAAAGCCTTTCTAAATAAGCTGTGAAGAACTTTAATCCTGATGAAATAAGATGCACAATAGAAAGATATATGTATAATTTCAACATAACTCAAGAGAGTAGATATTATTTTGGTTTTACATGTTAAATAATATATCACACTACAATTAACTGATTTACCATAAGAGACTTTTATAGCTTTATATTCTCTTGGAAAGTACATCTAGCACTTTGTGTATATGTAGTGTATTGTGAGTTATTCTCCCACTACTTCTCCTCTCCAAACATCTGATAAATAAAAATTCTCAAGTTCCCTAGCACACTATGCAGAGCTGTACAAAGATAAAAATCTGTTCATTTGCAAAAACCAAGATTACAGTGCATATCAGTTATTTT